TTTCAGCGCAGATAGGGAAGCAGCACGCCATTGTATAGGCCCTTCTGCAAGCCCGTGCATTATACCACATACACGCATGCTCCCTCTTTCATCGAGCCATACAAGCAGAGATGGCCAGCAGGAGAGGAAAAGCTACCTGAGAAGAAGAGAGGGTTTTTATAACCTATCAAAAGAGAGGCAGAGAAATCACTGTCTAACAATAATCAGCTTAAACCCCACCAAGAGAGAAGAACTATTTGAGCTGGGAATAGGTTTTGGCTCAAGAACAGATAGTCATAAAATGATTACAGATGATTTTCAGCTGGCAATTAAAAGATAGCTCCTAAACACTAAGAAGCAAGGGGACTGCAACAGTCTCCCAACAAAAGAAGCAGCACCACTGCCACAGACACACAGAAAAACCTCCCCAAAATCTCACCAACGGGTTTGGAGACAAACCCTGGTGCCTTCCTAAAATGTCTCAGTGAAGTGATTGTCTATAATTAGGAACTGGATTCAGGAGACCCCTTCCAACTCTATGTGGTATGAGTCTGGTAGTTGCATATCACAGAGGAATTATTAGCATTGATGGACTGACTGAGGCAGTTAATTAGTTTACTAGCATCAAGAAACAGTAATCTACTTTCGTGGTGCAGCAAGACTGGGAGAAGAGAGGGAAAGGCAAGAAAAAAGCTGCAAGCTGCTTGCCCAGCATGTACAGACAGCTGTCTATAGGAGGATATTCACTCCTCTGGTCACATAGTCCCAGTGGTGCCTTGGGAGACAGGGCTCAGAGCCATGTTGGGAGTGCAACACCAAAAGTATACTAATTACTTATTAATTTGTATTATTAACTTTATTATAACTGTGCCATCCATAAAAAGGGGGGGGAAGACTTGATTGGCTTGAAATTTGAATTGCAGTGAGCTGTGGGATCATACAGGGGTTATGCAATATATGTAAGCCCCAATGCGCTGCTGTTTGATCCACACTGACTCAAGGCTGCAGCCAACTAACATCTACCTCTGGGAAACTACCACTGAGAATGGGCTTCAGCACCCACCCTGCTCCTATCAGCAGTGAGATATGCTAAACACGATCAACATAAGCCAACACTTCAGCTAGCAAAGACTCCGTCTGTGTATGGATGCTTTGCTGCGGTTCCCAGGAATAAAACGAACAGTGTCAGCTTGGGAAAGCAAGGGATGCAGATGAATAGACTATTGACACCAGTGATGCAGTACCTTAACGTGTATTATCTCACTTAACTCACAAATCTAATTGACATCTACAGGGAAGAGTCAGGCTAGAAGACAAGTGTGGGAATACCCAATCTCACGTTGTACTCCTGTGCGGGACTAAGTATTCACTTATGGCTTTTGCAGACAGAGCAAGACATTTCTGTGCAGTAGGGCTGAGGGGTCTATATAGACATTTTTGCAGCTGGCAACTATGCGTTATCCAAAGGAAAATAAAGGAAAAAAGCATTAACATGATGAGATGGTAAACAATATAGCTTTCCTAGGAGTCCTGAGCATTCCTAAAGTCCCAAGCACTTGCTGCTGGCTTTGTCGCTGAGCATTTGGACCTCTCCCAGCCTCACAGTCATCTCTAGCCCTGGTGTTCGTCTGCGGCACAGTGACAGGAGCGGCAAAGAGGCCATCAGTGCAGGGAAACTGCAGAGCCCTACTCTCTGATGGGCTGGCTGAGGTGAGCCATCTCACAGCAGCCTTCCTCAGCATTTGAAATGTCAGTTATGTTTGTGCCCCCGCCTCTCCTCTGCCACCAGCCCAAGGGGTGCACCGGCGGGCAGGCGGGGCAGGAGCGCAGCACAGTGCTGCTGTTGCAAGCCCACGGGTGAGAAAAGCCTCTCCAGATGAGTCACACAAAGGCCATGTGGTTTTCATGTTGGCTTGAGTATTTATGGAGCCATCTAGCTCTGACTGCCCAGCTCCTCCAGCAACTACAAACAGGACAGTATTTGTAAGGTGAGCCTGAGGTCCCTTTGATGTCTGCTTGGCCACACAAACCCAGTAAGAGAAAAAGCACAGTTCAGGAAGAAGATGGTGGCAGAGCAGGTATGAAAGATAGATGTTGAAATGCTCAGTTTGCTTTAAAGTGGCATGCAACTTAAGTTCAATGGCATGAAAGGTTTCGTCTGTTTAAGTTGAGAGTATAGGAGGGGAAGAAAGAATGTACACCAAAAAAGCCAATTAGGTAGGATCCATCTGATACCAGAGTTGAGCTGCCTGGACATGTACAATGCCATATCTATGAAGACCTTGTGTATGCTTATTCTTCAGGCTCAGAAATCTTTTAATGGCAATTGTTTTATTTTAATGGTAATCTGCTTTTGGCTTAAGACCTAAAACAAGTACACAGATATTGCCCAGCAGAGAAGTTGCCCGTGTGACATTGCCAAGGTTGCTTACCAGGCAGAACAGCTCTCTTGCACTAAGAACTGGACTCTTTCAGGACTCCAAGTTCAGCTCTTGGTATCACAGTCTTCCAGGCATTGGAGAGTCATCCTCTTCCCCTGATGTGTCTTGCTTTGAGAGCATAGCTCTCGGGCAAAGAATAAAGCTGGCTCCCTCCATGACGTGAGCTGGGCTCCACCACTGACCATGCCAGCTCTCAGAAGTAACATGTGTGATCAGCTACATGTAACGTCACTGCAGTGCCAGATCAGCCTAAGGCACAGACTCCAGTAACTGAGTGTACCAGGCAGGAGTATTATGGGGGGGGGTATTCAGAAACACACTTGAAAAATCTGGTTATCGAGGTAGAAGATAGCAGCAGCCAGGCTTGCATCCAGCTCCAGCATTTACCCTACAAATCGGTCACCGTGGGAAAAGAACTTTCACCCAACACCAGTTGCAGCTACCACCACTGACCACCAGTCAGTCAAGCATTTACCAAAAGGAGAGAGAAACAAAGGGGGAACAAAAAGCAGGGGGAAGCAGATGAGGAGAACGTAACATCTCAAGAGATCTTTTTAAGTTCTTCATGACTAAATAATCATTAATTTGGTTATGAAGAACTCTCTGACCCTTCGCCCACGGCCGGAAGCTTCTGTGCAGCAGGAACCATTTGTGAAACTGCTCCGTGGAAGGTCAACGTACTGTAGGTTCAATATGTCTAATGTGCATCTGTTTCACCTTTCCCACCACCCCCAACAAACTGAAAATTAAGCATTGAGTTTATTTAAGAATCTTTACTCTTTTTTTTATTTATTTAAATTATACTTCCAAAATACAAGTGAAAAAAAAGACCTCACAATGAAATATATTGCTAATTTCTACAAAATAGTCTAAATAATAATGCACTTACATCATTTACACAGTTTACCTTCACAATAAAATAGGAGCGCTTAGATCAATATTTACATATTGACAGAGAACAGGGTCACGCAGCCATCTGCTTCTGGTGCTGTCTCCTGCTGGAGTACCTCTGGGAGACCGCAGCCTGCAGTTGCACACAAATCCTTCTGCAGGGAGAAAGCTCTGACAAAGTCTTTCTAGGTGCAGGGACCTGCCCATAGGGTGCCAAAGAGATCAAAACAGTGGCAAATATTTGCTTTTTCATCTTAAAGCTGCCACTGTAGCACATGGGTACTCATCGATGAGTTACTTAAGGAATTCCCTGATACAGAATTTGCTTTGCTGTATTAGGCACTTCATTATAAAAGTCATTTATTATGGCTTATGCAAAACAATTCACTTTCCTTAGGATATGTACTTGCCAGAGTTAGTGGGAGAGAGACATGTCCAAGGGCACACTTTGAGCCAATGTTTTGGGTTAGCCTGCATCAGAAATTCAGATCATATTATTTAATGTCAGTCCTGAAGGAAGCATTTTATCAAGACCTGATCCTTCCAGCAAGTCAAGCAGTCAGCATGTTTTAAAGCTTAGTATATGTGCACTTTTCCCCAAAATTATTGGTAACTAGAGCTTTCCCTCTTACAATAAGTTTAATTACATCCATGCTGTTCAATGTGCCATTGGGTGACATACCCCACACATGATTGTCTTAAAAGAGTACACCTAAGTTGAGGGATTATTTACATATCTTAACATGTAGAAAATAAAGTAGTAACTTGCCAAATAATAAATATAGATCAACAGAGTACAATATTGAAATAAAATAAATTAGAATGATTCTCCAGATGTTGTATTCCCTCCCTTAGGGCCTGAGGCAGAGACCATTAGAAAAAACCACTACAAAACAATGATGTTTTTTCAATGGCTTGAAAAAGTTTTCTATAGGGCCTATTATTAGGCATTGGCTGTTTGAAATGAGATGTTTAGCTAAGCTGACATGTATTTGAAATCTATATGATCAAACAGCAAAACTTACCTCTGAAAGGAGTCTTTTGGGTAAAACAATTTAGACCAAACATTAATACTGCCTTTATTAGGAAGAAGATAGTTCTTGCAGATTGTCTCGACATTAATTCAGCAGCAAGGAAATAAGCATACAGTTAAGAACACAACGTATTTGTGAGGCAAATACGCGTTAGTGCACATGATTTTCCAAAAACTTCACTCCTCAGCTACATTTGTGCATATTTCAGAATGCTTCTAACTAGACGGTTAATAAAAGTCTTCTCATGACTATAGCTAAGTTTGCCATTAAAAAAAATGAACTGAAAAACAGTCAGGAGTAACTTACTCACGAACAACGCCAAACTTCAGGTCCAAATATATCAGAACACTGAGAAACTTGGAATCTAAGTAAAAACCCTAAAACTCAGGTCTATCTATTTTAAAAGAAAAAAAAAAAAAAGATTAAAAGCAGTGAATCTGCTCTCAGCATTGCACGCGTACCACGTTTGTAAACTCTGCATGAAGTCAATGATGCACTGTTCAGTACAAGAGGTATAATGTAGATGCTCCATGCAAAGCAGTGCAGACGCTTTGTCTGTCATTTACTTCATGTCTCCTTTTTCTCTTCCTTGAGAATTAAGCATTTAAAGTAATTCAGTAGCTAGAAAGTCTGTCTTATACGAAAAGGTCTCGGTTTACATAGAAGGCGGGGTGACAGGCGTCCACGTGGATGCTAGCCTGGCATGTGCGGAGGCATCGTACTGGCCGTCGGGCAGGTCCGTGGTGGGTCCCCCGCCGTCATACAGCGGGGAGGCGGAGGAGGCGGCAGGGACCGGGTGAGGAAGGGCGGTGTAGTGCGCCGGAGAGCCGCGTAAGAACTGGGAGCTCAGGCTGTTGGACATCCCACTCGACTGAGATACCGGCGTGATGGTGCTGTTACTCACAGACCATAAGTTAGGATACTGACTGAAAGAAGGAAAGCAATAAATAAAACAAGTTATTAGTGATGCCAGTGCCTGCTGGCAGTTGCTCAGGTCACAACACAGCTCCCAAGCTGGGTCCATTTGCTGGAGACAGTGAATTTCTTTAGGAAGTTCCCAGCCACTGCGAGGTAGGAAGGACTCCCAGGGAGGATTTGTGTTCATGGCACCCCACCAATAAATCTAACCTCCCTGGTTTCCAACAGCAGGTTCCAGCACTAGGTATACTAGCGAATTTAAGCCAAGCTGAGGAAAGAACAAGCTGGCTGAAAAATGCAGAGGTTTGAGGGCCGATTCCTGAGCCACGCCATACCCTTGTCTCAAAGGAAAGGCACATGGTGGAGGTGGCTGGACATGGCAGCTGTTGGACCCAGGCAGGTTTGAACCCATTGCCACAAGTCTGTCAGAGCCCTAACTCCCCTTGGGTGCCTCTGTCATCAGTGGGGGACGGATGCCTCTAGACAGCAATTCAGCCCTCCTTGTTCATCATCTCATGTTAGAGGGGGAAGACCTAGACAGATGGCTGCAGATTGCACGGATACTATAGGAAGGGCTGCTTGAAAGGATAAAAAGCCTTGTCAGGACACCACAGCCTCTGCCCTCTCTCCGTCCTCTGAATATATACACACACACACATATAAATACACATATGAATTAAAAGAAACAAGGTGATTCAAGAGAAACACTATGAGAAAAAGTTCAGTCCTGCTGTATAATACTACACAGCACTTTCTACCTGTTGATCCCAAGCAGTTTAACAAGAAAGCTAAATATTATTCTTACTTTACAGGTAGGGGTTTAGACAAAAGTGCTGTCAGAAACGCTTTGAGGCCCCACAGTTCCAGTTCCACTGGTTTTAGCTACTGGACAATTCAGTGCAGCAACTGGAACTCAGTGTACTTTGCAAGTTTCTAAATGTGTATCCTGGGGGTCAGACAGAGAGAAGTGCTAGGAGGACCTGCTTACTTGATTAACATATGTTCAGGACTAAAACTTATGTTCAGTAATACAGTTACCTCATACGGGGTAATAGTACATACATACTCGGATTAACAGCTGAGTGTCCATGTGCATGGTTCAAATAAAAATGCTTTCCACAGACAGACTGGTAGGTTTGCACTGCTGAGATAGATGCCCAGACTTCAGCCATCTGTGGTTAATAGCAAAGATCTTGCCACCTTATCTCTATTTTGATTTTTCAAGTTTAGTTCCAAGGGACTGACTGTAAATTAAATCTCTGATAAAAGGTCCCAAAGCTTAATTAAGATAATAAGAAGAAAGAGGAGAAAAGATACATTTGTATGACCACAAAATGGCAAAGGCTTTCACCGCATGTATAATCCCATGCTATGCTGGCTTGTATGGCAATACTTAAGTAAAGAATTACTGCCCCAACCTCTCACTCCTTCTCTGCACTACAGTTCACTGCCACTTTGTAGCAGAACAAGGGTTTGTGGAAATGGCTGGGAAAGCAGTGACTGGCTAAAATGAAACAGATCAAAAATTAACTTTTAAAATGCTATTTTGCTTAGAAGAGGTGAAACTTAAAAGAGCATCCTCAAATCCAATGGCTATTTGTCCAAGTGATTTGTAGTCCTTAATCTATCAAATACTGCTGTCACAAGTATCTACATTTCCAAAACCAAAACATAAAAAAAAGTTATCTGTTTCTTCAATGTGTTTTCCTTGTGAATAGTCCTTCTCAGTGTGCCCTTCCACATAGCTAATGATCCACACATGGCCATAAGGATTTCTAATTTGCTGGTGACTCTTTACCTCCTTTTCCAGCCTTCTCTTCCCAGAAAGTATCAACACACCGATTTGAGGGCTGCTGAGAGATGGACTCCTACCTGGAGCTGGTAGCTGTGCCAGTGCTGTGACTCATGGGCAGCATTGTCGTGTGTGTGGGAACCCCTAGAGAAGACCAGTTGTCATGGGATTGCAGCATGGAAAGGCAGGCAGAAGAGTTATCGGCATAGGCTGCTGAGAAAACAAGCAAGCACTTATACACACTAGAATTGGACCCAATAACGATCTTGTACTCAAATGCATTGTATAGCTTTAAACCACCCTCCCCCATTACTGCCTTGCAAAAAAACTAAACGAAATTACACACACAGAGAAAAATGAAGTCAGCTACCAGTTGTGTCAAGTTTACCCTTTCAATTTCATGTGTTGTTTTGCACAACTTACAGTTGCAAAGTCTTATTTCTATGGAGGATCTATGGCCAAAAAGCTGTTTTGCCAAATCCCACCTGCTAATTCAGCCCATGCTTCCTAATTCAGACAGAGGGAAGAGGTGGGCTCCTTCCTTACACTACCTCAATCAATTTTGCAGGGCACCTTCTTTATGTCCATCATCTACATAGGCAGCAACAGTCTGGCAGCCCTTGATAACAAGCGTTATCACTGGATCACACATCCCTATTTCGAGACCAGCATGCCACCACAGGCTCTGAAGTCTGCCTTAGGCACCACCAGGAGTGACTGGACTGTGATTTAAACTACTGAGCTTGTGACCAAAACTGGCTGGCCAATATGGCAGAGGCACCAGGAAGCTGTAAAGGGAATGCTACACAGCCATCCGCAGCAAGGAAAAGGTTGCTGTGGCAGCTGACTAAGGGAAGAAGAAGAGGTTCCTTGCTGAGGACCAGGGAACAGGTGGTTTTGTTCTTTTATTCTGTTTCAAGTCACAAAACTCGCATAAAATTTCCAAGATGCAAGAAAAGTCCATAGAAAGTTAGTTTTCCACTTTAAAATGAACTACAAAGCTATGTACGAGATTGATCAGGCTGTGTAGTACTTCACAATTCAAAATTTATTTTTTTTTTTAATGGGAACCTTCAATATCCATACAGGCTGAAGGACAAAAATTGTCAACAGGACTTTGCCAGAAGAAAGAAAAAAAAAGAATAATTAAAAAAAAAAAACCCACCACTGTTAAAAATGCCCTTGTCTCCTCTCCTTGAAGTACCTACAGCTTAAGGCACCAAGCATTTATTTGACTATTTCTGACCACAGCTTTTGAACAGCTCTGCAGTTTACTCAGCTCCATATTGTTTCTGTGTATCCAGTTGTGACACACACATTGACAACAACCTGAATGCACGGATGTTAGCTACAGCAACAGGCAAGTAACGCTAGCAGAATCAGGACCTCAATTATTATGTGGTAAGACCAAGTGACACCAACAGAACCAGACACATACTTCTTCATTTCACTGTGTTATACCTACAACTAATGATTGAAATCCTTGCTTTCAAACTTAACTCCGAAAAAGTGTCAAAGTTTAAGCTCACTGGTTACAAGAATTCAAAAGCACAGAACAAAGCCAGCACAATATAGTCTAATCAATTAGCAGGAGGCAGTTCTACACACCCTCGTTTTTTCCATCATAAAGAGAGTGGGGACACGTACTCATCATCCCTCTTTCTTTGCAATGCTGGCCCCAAGCCCTCTGTGCCAACGGAGCTAGAGCGCGACCTCAATTTCTGTGGCATCGCTCGAGAAGCCCACTGCTCAAAGCCTGCATCCCTCGGCTCATTTCCCACCTTTATACGGAGCTGCAACGTCAGACTTACTTGGCGAGTTGTTTCTATGGGTGTATGGGTTGGGGTAGGGGGCAGGACGGTGGTTCCTCAGCGATGAGTACCTTTCACAGCTGTGAGCAGGGGAGAGCGGCAGGGGGGCTCCAAACTGAGGGTGAGGATTGGCAGGTGGGCACAGAGTCCCAGTCCCCGGAATAAGCCAACTACCTACTGTGGGGAAGCAAGAGATTTGTAAGATGGGTACGTAATGCAGCCAGGCAGGGAAAGGATCACAGCAACGAGATAAACAATCGATCAGCAAGGAAATGCACACTCGGAAAAGGAAACAGAGTTCAACATGGCAGAAAAATCTTGATCTTTACAGCTTTCTTAAACAATCTTATGGAGGAAAATTAGACAACAGCTTAGAAAAAGCCCCGTGTCAAGCTAACATCATTTTTAAATTACCGTTTCATTACAATCACAGTAAGGAAACACTGAAATGGTTAAACTCTCCCTTACATAGGTAGTGTGCGCTTAGTAATGGTTAGTGTAATTTTCAGTTTTAAATTGCTCTTTGGTGGGGGTCTCAATCTATAGCTGTGCTCTGAGGTTTCTCAAACTGCTGAAAAGAACTCTCAAAAACTAAGTATTTTCACTGAAGCAAATAATTCCTAGTGCAACTCAACTTCCCCCCTTTATAGGCTGCAGACATTTTTTTGGCAATAATCTGCCAAAACAGAAATCACTAAAACACTAATGCTTTTTATTCATCCGAAAAAAAAACTTTTTAAGCAAATGCCCCTAATTTTCTTAAAGTACTTAAAACATAAGCACTATTTCAAGCATTTTCTGCTGTATTTTGAAATGAACTTTTGTCTCCATATCCATGTGGATATTGTTGCCATTTTATACAAAGGCAGATGTCTTTTTGGACATGAAGATTAACTGCAAGATTCTATTAAAGGATTTTAAGCGTAACACAGAAGTCTTAACCACACACACATAGACTATAACGTTTATACAACCACAAACTCGCATGAACCACAATCATAAGGACTGGTAGTATTATTCTCCCTTAGTTAAAGCCAGCCAGCAAACATTGCTCTTGAAGTTTTGCTTAACGGATGAGATGGAAGAAATCAAAGTTATGTTCATGGTGCAGAATGAAAGGAAACGTACACTGCGAATACCCAGACTGCTGGTTGTCTCCCACTTCCTCCATCATGTCTTTGTGATCACTTCTATAAAAGAAACCATGTTGTGTTAGTCAACAAAACATTTTTACAAATCTATGTAAAAAATCCGCACTATAGAATTAAGAGTTCTCACCTTTCTTTTGCGTCAAGAAACGCCTTTGCAAAAGGATTGTATTTAATTTTTAAAGCTGTGATCTAAAAACAACAAAAAATATATTTATCTGCAAGTATCACCATTCATTATCATACAGATATTAGGATTTTAATTAGGACTATCCATTGAAGTTAGTGAAATCACAGATGTTTGAAGAAATAAGATTAGGCCCATAATACCAACATATGGACATTGATTAAACAGCCCCTAAGGTCTGAAGTATTAGCAGACGGCTAGGAATTAGTCCCTCTGCCAAATTCTGAGAGACTGAATTGCTTGGCTTTATTGATGAGCTAAGAAAGCAGCTAAGAAAGGTAGTACACTAAAGAGCTATAGAAAGTTTCACATTTCAAGCCAGAGCTGAATGGGGATCCAAAAAATCTCAAGAAGATTGGTAATTTACAGATTCATTAACCATAGATGTGCATTTTGGCTAACAGAGAAAGGCCAGCTTTGAAAAAGGCACATCCAGCTATTTCACTGTGTAGCTAAAAATGACAAATGTCTATCTTACCATACCTGTTTGCCTCACAGAATCTTTTAAGAATTACTCTCCTGCAATGAATTTGCAGTATATATTGAGACAGTGATCAGAAATTTGTGCTGTTACACATTCATAGGGCTTTTACACATATCGATTTCATTTTTATATTTAGCTTCAAACAGAGCACGGAAAGAACTGCCAAACACAAAACGAGTTCCATTATTTTGCTCTGTAACGTGCGCTTTGCCACTTGAAACCTCCTGGGTACTTGCATCCTTTCTTCCCTGCTGTGCATACCTCCTCATTCTGGTAGGCCGTCACGGCTATAAACTGGGTCTCTGGGAAGGAATGGCTGGTGATCATCCGCTGAGGGCCACCCACTCGCACTATGTGAATCCTTGGCTCATACTTGTGCAGAGAGTTCAACATGATCTGCGAGCAAACGGACAGAGCAGGTAAGCAGCGACAGAGCGGCGGCAGATGCTGGAAGGCACAGAAGGCACTCACACTATAAAGTCTCTCACGACCCATCTTTCCATCAGAGGAGAAAGAGGCAACAGGTGTGAATAAACCCTAAACCCAAAGCTGTAAGAAAAGGAGAGGGGCACTGCAGCCAGACACCCCAACATTCTGCCTGGGCATCCTCATCCCCGGTACTTGACAGGGTGGCTTGCACAGTCACAAACACATTGGCGATAAATAGCCAAAAAGACGCATCTACTGTGCCGTTGGCATGAGCAGGTGCCCAGACCAGAAAGAGATCTCAAAAAAGCAAGACAAGGCACCCGTCCTCGGTGGGAAGACCGACTCCGCTGAAAGAATGCAGTTCGCAACACACACACACCCCCCCCAGCACGTTTGATAACAGCGGTATAAAAACAAGCATTAAGGAAGGCGGGAGCGGTGGCTCGGCAGGACCCCGCTGTCCCCCAGGGATGGGACGGGTCAGGTCGGGTCGGTCCAGCCCCGCTGAGCGGGGCGAGGGCGGCGCGGTCCCGGTGCCGGTGCTTACCTGCCCGCCGCCGTTGAGCTTGTTGGTGAGTTTGACCTTGCTGAAGGAGACGGGCGCCTTCATCCAGTGCGCGCCGAAGTTGGGCGAGTCGGGGTGGATGTAGACGCAGCTGGG